TTCCCTAACATTTTATTAAAAAATTTGAAACATACAGAGAATTTTTAAAAAATTATTCCATGAATACCTGTATACTCCTGTCACCTAGATTTTACTATTTGCTTTATTATATATCCGTCCATCCCTCTGTGTGTTCAGTTGACCTATGTTATTCTATACCTCAAAAGAAGTTGCAGACATTAGTACTCATCACTCCTGAATACTTCAGCATGCACGTTATTAATTAGAACTCAATATTTGTTTACAGTCCTGGTTTGTTTGTTTTTGGTTTTGTTTCTGGGGGAGAGGTTTGAGGTAAAATTTACATACAATGAAATGTATAGATCTTTAGTCTACCATTTGATGCATTTTGACAAATGCATGCATCTGTGTAATTCAAACCCTTTCAAAATATAAAACATTATCATCACCTCAGAAAGTTTTCTAGTACCCCTTCGTAGTGTCTGACTCCACATCCTTAAGAAGCAACCACCATTCTGATTATTTTTATCATGGATTAGTTTTACCGGTTCTGAAACTTCATTTTAGTGAAAACATACTGTATATACACTTTTGTGTAAGGCTTTTTTCACTCAGTTTAATCATTTTGAGATTCATTTTTGTTGTCTGTATCAGTAATGTGTTCCATTTTATTGCTGAGTAATATTTCATTGGATGACTACATCACAGTATTTTTAGCCCTCCTCCTGTTAGTGAACATCTGACCTGTTTCTAGTTTTGACTATTCTAAATACTGCTATGAGCAATCTTGTACAAGCCTTTTTGTGGACATGAGCTTTCATTTCTCTTGGTTAAATACCTACATGGAATTGCTGAGTCACAGGATGAAGGAATGTATGTTTAGTTTTGTAAGATACTGCCAAACATTTTCCCAAAATACCTGTACTATTTTATACTCCCATCATCAGTATATGTGACTTCCAGTTGTTGTGCATCTTTGTCAGCTTTTGGTGTTGTAAGTCTTTAATTTTAGCCATTCTAGTAGGCACGTATTGTTCTCTCATTATTAATATAGTTTGCATTTCCCTGGTGATTAATGAAATTGAACACTTTGTGTTTTTGACTATTCATATATCTGCTTTTGTGACATGATTTTAATGTTTAATATTGTTTGACTTTATTCTATAACTTAAAAATTTTGATTCCTATAATTTATTTGAAGTCCATTACTTATACTCTTCTGTGCATTCAGTAAATTTTAGGATTGAACCTTTAAAAGATAACTGCCAAGCAAAATTTTTCACTTTCGATCGAGGAGCATTAAAGAAGGGAGACAGACCATTTTCTTATTCTCTCCCATGTTCTTACTCTGAGAGAAAGCAGCATTTATCAGCCACCAGGACAATGTCAGGCAGTCAGATTCATGAAGTTTTGGATGTGAAATACAAATTAAAGAAGGGATTTAAATGATGAAATTATTATTAACTTCTAATAGTAGGAAACTACAGAGAATGCTTGAAATATACTTCACTTATATAATATCACTTACAATAACCAAATAGTATAAGATAATAATATGATTTAGCTTAGAAAAATATCACTGATTTTATATTATCATACATTGCTATAGAAATTTTTTTGAAATTCAAGTCAGGATTATTTTTTTTTATCCTCCGTAGGTATTATTAATTTATGTAAACCTGGAAACTCGGGGATCCAGTCTCTAATTGGAGTACTTTGCATACCAAATATGGAAATAAGGGTAGGTCAAAGTTTGAATTGTCTCATTCCTGGACCTTTAGCAGTGAGAATTAATTTTAAAAATAAAAGTTATTTCAGGTGATAACATTTTTCCTCATGAGTTGTTAATCTGTATCATAGAGTATTTTTAAAATACATGAATAAATATTTACTACTTAGTTAAGTCCCAAGTGTATGAATCCTTTAAAATACTGCTATTGTTAGGAGCAAAGGCTGTATGAAAAGTTGAGTTGAAAATAAGAACTCAGTTATGCATTATTCATTAAAACAGTACAAACAATACAGAAAGGGCATTCTCACTATAGAAGGTTCAAACACTATAGAAATAAATTTAGCAAAAAGTAGATGCATTTATGCATCTGTGCTTTCTAACTTATGAGTTTTTATTTTGAAAATGGTTTTTGATTAAAAAGGAGTTGTTAATCATTTATATGTTCATTTGTTAGATGTATTCCTAAATTAATGGTGTGTAAGAATTTGTATTATACAGCTAAAACAAATTGAATTTAGAGGAAAAAAGAATTAACCCATAAATTCAAGTAAGAGTTAAGTTTAAGTTTCTCCTTAAATGTTTTTGTTTGTTTTAATTTTATTCCTTCCTTTTGCCCTTTCTTCTTTATATGAACCAAACTTGGAGTTGAAATATATTGTTAGAAAATATTAGCCAGGTGTACCTTGCTTAAAATGTGAAATAAAAAGTGTGTAGATCATGGAATGAAAGGATATGATTATAAATGGAAAGATCTATAAGCAGAGCATGAACGTTTGTAGTAATTCAGTTCTTATTCTGCAGGTGGGGAAAGAACATGATCTTTGTAGTCTGGCTGACTTGTGTTTGACTCCTGCTTTTGTAATGTTTAGCTCCCTAACCTTGGGAAAATTACTTTTAATTTTTAAGTCTTTTTCTTCATGTGCACAATGAGGATAATGAAAGATGTATTGAAAAAATTAAATAATGTTTGTAGTAAGTATTCATTAGTTATCCCTTCTCTACTATAGGCCTGATATATTAATGGTAGTTTTCCAAAATACAGTACAGTTATACATCAATTAACGACAGAGATATGTTCTGAGAAATGCACTGTTAGGTGATTTCATTGTGCTGTGAACATCCTAGAGTGCACTTACAAAAACCTAAATGGTATAGCCTACTATACACCTAGGCTGTATGGTATAGCCTATTGCTTCTTCTACGCTACAAATGTGTATTGTATGTTACTGTACTGAATACTGTAGGCATTTATAACACAGTGATATTTGTATATCTAGATATTCTAAACATAGAAAAGGTACAGTAAAAATATGGTATAAAAGATTAAAAAATGGTACATATGTATAGTGCACTTAACCATGAATGGCGCTTAACGGACTGGAAGTTGCTCTGGGTGAGTCAGTGAGTGAGTGGTGAGTGAACGTGAAGGCCTTGGACATTACTGAACACTGCTGTAGGTTTTATAAACTTGTATACGTAAGCTATACCAAATTTATTAAAAAATTTTTCTTCAATAATAAACTTAGCTTACTATAACTTTTTTACTTTATAAACTTAATTTTTAAAAACTTTGTTTCTTTTGTGATAATACTTAGCTTAAAAACACATTGAACAGCTATACAAAAACAATTTCTTCATGTCCTTATTCTATAAGCTTTTTTCTGTTTTTGAAATGTTGTTGTTACTTTTTAAACTTTTTGTTAAAACCCAAGACACAAACAACATTAGCCTAGGGCTAGCAGGGTCAGGCTCATTAGTATCACTGTCTTCCACTTCCTCATCTGGTCCCACTGGAAGGTCTTCAGGGGCAGTAACATGCATGGAGCTGTCATTTCCTGTGGTAACAATGCCTTCTCTCATACTTCCTGAAGGACCTACCTGAGGCTGTTTTACAGTTAACTTTTTTAAAAAAATAAGTAGGAGTACACTCTAAAATAATGATGAAAGATACAGTAGTATAGGAAATACATAAACCAGTAACATAGGCTCTTATCATTATCAAGTATTGTGTACTGTACACAATTGTATGTGCTCTACTTTTACACAGCTGGCAGTGCAGTAGGTTTGTTTACACCAGTATCACCACAAACAAGTGAATAATTTTCACTGCAATGCAGGAATTTTTCATCTCCACTATGATGTATGGGACCACTGTCATATGTGGTTCATCATTGAACAAAACATCTTTATGCAGCGCATGACTGTAATTCTGTTTTTATCATTTTATTTATTCTGTGACTAGGACATTTAAAATAATCTTTAAAGATTTCATAAAAATAAAGGAACTATATTTGTTTGCTGTTTTAGCGAGGTCTGCTTGAAGTGCTTTATGATATCTTTCGTCTTCCTCTACCTGTTGTGACTGAGGAGTTCATAGAAGCACTGCTCAGTGTAGGTAAGTATTGAAGTGTGTTTTTATCTAGTCATATATTGTAATTTTTAAAGTGACTTATCTAATGGAGACAAAATTCCTAAAAGGGGAAATGCTAAACTAAATATTGTACATCGTTTTATTTTCTTATTGCATCATTGTGGCATGAAATTAATATAAAATTAAAACTTCAAATAAATTCCTAAGACTAAGGAATTTTAATTTCTTCTTTATCACCCTCTTACAAAAGAAGCAAGGAAATGAATAGTGTGATGGGCCAACAAAGGAAGGGAGGAGACAGTAAGAAACTTGGGTAATTCTCAAATTAGATTATCTAATTCTGATCTTATTTCAGCTAAATGATTCCTATTCCCCAAATGAAGGAAGTTAGATCTGTGGACATTTACATAAATAGGTTTTTTTCTTATTTATTTATATATATATTTAATATACATAGAAAGGATCTTGCTCTGTCACCCAGGCTGGAGTGCAGTGGCATCATCATAGCTCACTGCAGCCTCAAACTCCTGGGCTCTCCTCCCTCAGCCCCTGGTGTAGCTGGCACTACAGGTGTGCACCACCATGCCTGGCTACATAAATAGGTTTTATGTGTATCTTTTTGAGTGTATGGTTTTTTAAACAACACTTTTTGAAGTTCTTTATAGCCTGGCTGGCTGATGGTACCACAATTATCTGAAATGTTTCAGTGTTATCTAATTTTCTTTTAACTACCTAATTTTAATTATTTTAGATCCAGGAAGGTTCCAAGACAGTTGGAGACTTTCAGATGGCTTTGTAGCAGCTGAGGCAAAAACTATCCTTCCTCATCGTGCCAGATCCAGGTAGAATTTAAATTTAAAAATGGTTTCAATTTATTACAATTACTATTTTTTTATGTTCAATTGTGTAATATATGAAGCATTACTTAAATTATTTCTGTGCTGTATCTATTTCTAGGCCAGACCTCATGGATAATTATTTGGCACTAATACTCTCTGCATTTATTCGTAATGGACTTTTAGAGGTAAGACTTATAAAACTTACTTTATTCTGTTTTCTCTAATAAAATTCTTTCAGAGTTAAAAACATATCTGATGCTTAAATATGTACATCTACATTATTTTTCGGCAATATTTTCTTTTTATTTTCAAAGGGTCTAGTTGAAGTGATAACGAACAGTGATGACCATATCTCAGTTAGAGCTACTATCCTTTTAGGAGAGCTTTTACATATGGTAAGTTTAGCAACTTCTGATTATATGTTTCATACCTTTAATGTCTGAATTTAGAAAATATGTTGTTTTAATAACATTGCTTTGTATTATCTCAAAAAATATATTTGCATTTTTTATGAATGTTTATCTTTGCATTACAAAAAGCCTTTGGTACCTGTATCCTGATATATAGGCTAGTTTTATAAATGAAATACAAAACATACAAAGTATTCAATGTTGATTTTTACACTCACTTTTGATATTGATATTTTAGTCCTATAAATCTTACTTGATCTCAGAAAGACTTCCAACCCGAAAAGCAAGAAACTATGAAACTATAGCAACTACTTCATTCTGCTAGGAATGGAATTGATACATGGTAGTTAGTGCCTAATTTTAGAAAGCTTTGTCTAAATATAATTGTCTAGTTTGAACATGATAGCCTTCTCTATAAACTTATAGTTTGAGGTTTAGAGGATGGTAATCTTACTTTTTCTTTTTGTGCCATGATTTATGACATCAGTAACTTTTGGAAATTAGGAGCTAGGAAAGTGATCTGATCATTCTCTGCTCTTAGTAAATCAAGCAACGGGGGAACTCTGATAGTTTGCAAGATAGAAATTTATATGTCTAGGTCATCTGCTAGTTAGTAAAATACTACATGGAAAACCATTTAAAACTCATTAAGAAAGACTTGACAATATGGCAAATCTTTTTATATTATGTTATGGCTTGATATTATTGGCAGGTATTTTTTGTTTTTGTTGTTTTTGTTTCCTCATCCTCTTCTTTCCTCCTCACCTTTATCCCCCACTTAGTAGCTGGACTATGTGAGTGAGGTAAATAGAATTAAACAGAATTTAATATTAACTGCTTTTTTAATCAATTAATTATTTAGCCACTAGGTCTGTTCTTTTTTGGCCTGTCTGTGAAAGAATTAAATAGTGTCACAGGCTCTCAGGTTTGATTATTTGTATTTTAATTCCTAAGATATTATTTCCTGTAAAGATACCAATATCCAGAATTATTTGCTTTGATATAAAGGAATCTCTTATAAATTTCATCTCTTTCGCTTCCCCCATACACCAGAATTCTGTGATTCTCTTGAAATATAGAAGCTGCTCATTTTGAGTATAGCAGTGTTAGTTCATTGCTTATTATTCTTATATTGCCTATTTTTTATGTTTAATTACTTTGCTTATCTTCGTTGGTAGAAAGCTGGTCAGGTGGTGAGATTTTGTTCGGAAAGCAGAAGTTAATAAGTTTCTTATTTTAAAGATTGTGGTATTTGGGACAAACCTATTTTGAGAAAGTTTTTAAAATTTAAGAAGTCAACTCAAGTTTTGATATTGCATCTAGCATTTTAAGTTATTTTATTCATAACTTAGATTCAGTTTTGTAGTATTTTGACATATAATCCTTTCTGGCCATTAAAGAATTGCGTTTAATTGGGTACCACTAAAAATCATAATTTAATATTATAAAAAAGGATCTATGAAAATTAGCGATTTTTTTTTTTTGCAAGGCAAATGTGAAATGAAGTTTATTGAGGAAGGACAAGATAGGTTTGCAGAGCAAGAGCAAGATACATCCACCACAGAGTGGTGAATGGACCCCTCGGTTGTAACAAAAGGGCTGAAAATTAGTGATTTTAATATAATGTGTGTATCTTTATATTTCATCCTTGTTCAAAGTAAGATTAAAATTATAGATAAGTATGTATTGGGAAAAGTAAGTTAATTTTATGAGTAAAATCTCGGAATTTTTAATGGTCTCGATACAGCATTATATCTGTAGATAGTCTATAACAAAATATTTTTATTTCTGGAAGCTCATATAAAATGTTATGTTTTGTTTTAGGCAAACACAATTCTTCCTCATTCACATAGCCATCATTTGCACTGTTTGCCAACCCTAATGAATATGGCTGCATCCTTTGATATCCCCAAAGAAAAAAGACTGTAAGTATCAGAAAGCTTTTATGTTTGGCATATTTAATATCCATTTAGATTACCTTCTCTTCTTTTTAAAAAAGTAGTACAGATAGGTTATGCTTGGACATTCTTTTAGGGAAGTCTTACAGATAAGAGGAAAAATTAATAGTTCTCATTTGTATTTAATAATTTGTATTTTAGGCCACAAAGTTTTAATAGTGTAGTAAAATCACATTTTTCTAGCATATTTGTAGACCAAGACGTGGACTTCCTACCACATTACTAAAAATGTTGGTTGAGAGTTTTTTGGACTATTTTATGTTGTGAGTAACAATTTATGCTCATTTTTCTGTCTATGAATTATTTCAAATTAACAAAGCACAAAAAACTACCAATGTATTCTTTTATATGTGTGGTTAAAACTTTTGGAATTTAGTAACCCATACTATAGGCCTATATAGCAGTAAGCTGAACTCTTAATATTGAAGGAGGTATTACAAACAGAATTTACAAACAAAAGTATAGTTACAACTATAGCTCTGCTGAAATTCTAGTGCTAATAATAAAATATTTAAAAGGTAAGAACAGAGGAGTTCAATTGGGAAGGGCAAGTAGGATTATTTTTTGATTTGGTGAAGATTATATCTGTGCCAGGGATATCTCTTTTTTTGGTCTTTTTTATTTGCTATTACGATCAGAAAAATTGATGTATATGGACCACTTTATTTTTTGCTTGATGTTAGTGAAATGCAGCAGTTCTTTATTCAGAACTATGGATTTTTGTTAACAGTTATAATACATTTTTTAAAAGTTTAATTAGCTTTATTAATACAAGAATACATATAATTCATTAATTTTAATTCCATCAATGAAAATACTACTATTTAACAGACTAAAGTTATAAACTGAGGGCATTCGGGACCATCTTAGTTCTGACTCTAGGCTTACATCAGTAATGGTAGCTTTCAGCTTTTACATTAATAGTTTCATGATGGAAAAATGTACTCTCCAAAACCTGGTAGACCTAAACTCCGGGTCAGATTATGGCCACGAATTTCAGGGCTCATCAGTAATTCAAATTTACCTTCAAAATGTTAGCAATAATAGTCTTCTTAGAATAGTTTTTTTTCTTTAGCTCAGTAAGATTTCTCTCTCCTTTTTTTTTTTTTTGTTGGGGCGGTTGTTGTGGGGGAACGGATCTCACTCTATTGCCTGAGCCTAGAGTGCAGTGTTGTCATCATAGCTCACTGCAACCTCAAACTATGGGGCTGAGGATCCATCCTGCCTCAGCCTCCTGAGCAGTTGTGACTACAGGCACAGGCCACTACACCCAGCTAATTTTTTCTATTTTTTTGTAGAGGTGGGGGAGTGTCTCGCTATGTTGCTCAAGTTGGTCTTGAACTACTGGCCTCAAGCCATCCTCCCACCTTGGCTTACTAAAGTGTAGGATTATAGACGTGAGCCACTACACCGGGCCTGTAAGCTTCCTTTACTGATAGAGTAAATACTTGCCAGTCAACACATCGCAAGATTTTTAAATTCTGTTCACTAGAGTTCTGAAGTTGAGACTCGATTGCTACCAAATTCTTGAAAACTGTACTTTACATACCAAAAAAAGAAGTTAAACATAATTTTTAGAAAGATACCATTTGTAGTTACCGATCAATGCTGAAAATAGAGACTGTTCAATTAATACTGGGATCATTGATTATCCATAGGGGAGGACGGTGAAATTATTCCAGCCTCATACCATGAACAAAAATAAGGCCAGGCGTGGTGGCATGCATTTGCTGCTGGGGAGGTTGAAGCAAGAGGATTACTTGAAGCCAGGAGTTTAAGACCAGCCTGGGTGACAGATTGAGACCTTGTCTCTTAAAAAAGAAAAGTTTCAGGTGGATTAAGGACTTACATGTGAAAAGCAAAGCTTTAAAACTTTTCTAAGAAAATGTAGAAAACTAGATTTCTGACCTTTAGAAAGAGTTCTTAAAACCAATGTACAAAAAATGCCCACCACCATAGAAGAAAAGATTAGTTAATAGTTAAGTACGTGTTGAGTCTAAATAATTTTTTTGTATAAATCAGTGTTCTTGATTTTTTGTCTTTGTTTCCAAAATTGACTGGATTCACTTTTTTATTAATAGTAAGAAAATCTAGTCTTGAATTTATAGAAGTTTTAATGATTTACCAAAGTAATCTCTTTAAAATTATGCTAGTCTTGCTACTATGTTAATCAAACTTTTTTTCTCATTAGGCGAGCCAGTGCAGCTTTGAACTGTTTAAAACGCTTTCATGAAATGAAGAAACGAGGACCTAAGCCATATAGCCTCCATTTAGATCACATTATTCAGAAAGCAATTGCAACACACCAGAAACGGGATCAATATCTCCGAGTTCAGAAAGATATATTTGTTCTTAAGGTACTGACATGAAATCATGATTTTTTTTTTATTTCCGCATATCATGGGGGTACAAATGTTTATTTAGGTTATGTATATTGCCCTTGCCCCACCCAAGTCAGAGTTTCAAGCATGTCCATCCCCAACAGCGTGTGCACTGCACCCATTAGGTGTGTGTATACCCATCCCCTCCTCCCCCCTCCCATCTGGCTGACACCAGATGAATGTTATTACTATATATACACTTAAGTGTTGATCAGTTAAAACCAATTCGATGGTGAGTACACGTGGTGCTTGTTTTTCCATTCTTGAAATACTTCACTTAGTAGAATGGGCTCCAGCTCTATCCAGGATAATACAAGAGGTGCTAGATCACCAGTGTTTTTTGTGGCTGAGTAGAACTCCATGGTATACATATACATACACCACATTTTCTTAATCCACTCACGTATTGATGGGCACTTGGGTTGTTTCCATATCTTTGCGATTGTGAATTGCGCTGCTATCAACATTCTAGTGCAGATGTTTTTTTTTTATAGAATGTCTTTTGCTCTTTTGGCGTTGGTGTGGTTGCGGAGAGATAGGAACACTCATACACTGATGGTGGGACCGCAAACTAGTACAACCTCTGTGGAAAGCAATATGGAGATACCTCAAAGAGATACAAGTAGAACTACCATGTGATCCACAGTCCTGTTACTGGACATCTACCCAGAAGAAATCACGATTTTTAACTTAAATATAATTTCTTAATTCTTAACCATTTGATTTTATTAATACTATGTATATGCTTGTTTGAGTTTGCAGTTTTATTCATGCATGTGGATTTTTAAGTGGCTTTTGAGTTTTACAATGACTGGGCAGTTTAGAACTGGGTTTTTATAACTTTAAAGTTAAGCCTTGATCTATCCTTAAATGAAAAATCTTTGTTTTAGTTTTTAAAATTTGAACTTAGTTTTTTTTTTGTTTGAGACAGTGTCACTCTTTTGCCCGGGCTAGAGTGAGTGCCGTGGCGTCAGCCTAGCTCACAGCAACCTCACACTCCTGGGCTCAGGCGATCCTTCTGCCCCAGCCTCCCGAGTAGCTGGGACTACAGGCATGCGCCACCATGCCCGGCTAATTTTTTCCATATATTTTTAGTTGTCCGATTAATTTCTTTCTGTTTTTAATAGAGACGGGTTCTCACTCTTGCTCAGGCTGGTCTCGAAGTCCTGAGCTCAAACAGTCCACCCGCCTCGGCCTCCCAGAGTGCTAGGATTACAGGCGTGAGCCACCGCGCCCGGCTGAACTTAGTTTTCTGATGTGAGGACAGTTTACCTTAATTTTTCCTATTACTTTCTGATGATTTTAGGATACAGAGGAAGCTCTTTTAATGAACCTTAGAGATAGCCAAGTCCTTCAACATAAAGAGAATCTTGATTGGAATTGGAATCTTATAGGGACCATTCTTAAGGTATGACAGGATACTTCATGGTAATGGCTTGTCTTCATTTTATTATTAATTATAACTTACTATAATTATATGTTTAGGAATTGATAAATACATATTTTGTTATGTTTTTCTAGTGGCCAAATGTAAATCTAAGAAACTATAAAGATGAACAGTTGCACAGGTATGTATGTAAGAATTATTGCATTTAAATTTAAAGAACTTAGATTTAGATTATGTTATGCCTAATGCCTACTAAAAGTAATAATTAGTATTTTAAAGATATATACACATTTTAATAATTAGTCTTCAATAGGTACATACATATATTTTTATATGCAGTCTTATAACCAAAACACATCAGCTAATTCTTTTCCTAATTATATTTACATTCTGCTTTTAGTTTTAGAACAGATGGAGTAGTTGAGATAAAATTTTCTCAAATTGGTATAATATAAACTGTGTACTGATCTTAGCCCTAACATATGAGAATGACATAATAAGAACGTGTATTTTTAATATACAGTGTCTACCTCATGTTTGACTTTGGAGAGTTATCCACTCTTCCTCCTCTTTATGCTCCCCTTAACCACACATTCTCTAACACATGCAAATGTTTGTAGCATGTAGAACACTTTAAGCTACTATCCTTTTCTCTGGTTTATCCATGCATTTTTACTCCTTCTGAGTTTAGACTAACCAACTGTCGGTACTGATTTCCTTGGATAGGAGAGCCTTACTTTGTGTTTGAGAACTTTGTGTCATTATTACTTAATTGCATTCATGTGCTCATGATATGTAACAATATCTGTGTTAAGTTTAGAGAAGTAGACAGAACATATAAATTACACTGGAATAAAGCATAGTATTAACTTTTTGTACTCCTTGAGAACAGAGATAATGTCTTATTCAACTTTGTTTTCCCAATTCCTGGACCTGACACCTGTATTAGATTGAATTGTAGTGCATGAAATCAAATTGAACTAAATTAAATAGAAGCTTAGAACATAATGTTGAAAGTTGTAACATTGAAATACCATAAATTATGCCTATAAATTCAGTTGTCTAAATTGCAACTTTTATGTTTGGCCTTTTGCCAAATTGTGAAAAACCGACAAAGTTAAGAGTGTGGTAACTTAAAATTATCTAGTATAAGATTATTTTATGGAGCTGTGGGACAAAGTTTTTCATAGAATACAATAGAAGAAAATTTATGTCCAGGTGGCTTCCTAATATTTATCCAATTTTATATTCTAACTATATTAAATCTCTATATTTCCTGCTATCTATCTTCTCTTTCTTTCAAGCATCATATCATAAATTCTTATTCAACAAAAATATTCTTTGCAATGAAGGTTTTGTTTGTTTGTTTTGTGAAATGTACCAAATGTGTTTATTTAATTTCTTGCCATTTAACTCAGTGGTTCAGACCCCAAACATGTTCAAAGCCATATTATATCATAAGCAATAGTTAAAATTCTAAAATAATTGTTTATTGTCTTTGTTGCTAATTTTGTTTTGATCATAGGTTTGTACGAAGACTACTTTATTTTTACAAGCCTAGCAGTAAATTATATGCCAACCTGGATCTGGATTTTGCTAAGTCCAAGCAGCTCACAGTTGTGGGTTGCCAGTTTACAGAATTTCTTCTCGAGTCCGAAGAGGTAAGCACTCTGAGTATTTTCCATAGCAGATGCTTTTTATTGGATTTTCACCCCTTCCCCATCCTCTGTTTCCACTTTCTGTTTTGCTTTTATTTCTGAATATGCATAAGTTATATTTAGAAACATAGGAAATAAGCCCAGACCTAGATTTGAATTCTGACCTAGTCACTAGTTGTAAGACTTTAGGCAAGTTGTCCACCGTCTAAAAGACCTAGTCTACTCCTCTGTAAAATGGAGAATAATACCATCTCCATGCAGCATTATGTTAAATAGGATTAAAAATAATAGGTAGGTAGTGATTGATATCTGTTATTGGTAAATTTATCATTATTATTAAATTTTTTGTACTTAAGTTCATTTTTTCAATTATAAGCATAGATGTTTTTCTCACAATATCACAATGTATTTTCTTTTAGGATGGGCAAGGATACTTAGAAGATCTAGTAAAGGATATTGTTCAGTGGCTCAATGCCTCATCTGGAATGAAACCTGAAAGAAGTCTTCAAAATAATGGTTTATTGACTACCCTTAGTCAACACTACTTTCTATTTATTGGAACACTTTCTTGCCACCCTCATGGAGTCAAAATGCTAGAAAAATGCAGTGTATTTCAATGGTGAGAATTCCTAGATTATGTTGCAGTATATACATAAAGTTTATTTTTAATGTGGTCAGAGATGGTGCGCTTTTAGTCTGTATACATGTGTTTGGTAAGTTTTATTTAAAAAGGATTAAATTAGAGTTGTCTTAATGCTTTGATACTCTTTTTTATGTGATAGTTATTAAATGCTTTCTTTCAGAAATGTTTGTTTATATTAGGAATTTTAAAAATATTTGTTGAATTCTCTTTATGCTCTACCCCTAACACACAAAATGGTAGCTGAGTGTGGTGATTTATATGTTAATTAATTTGTAGTAATCATTTCATAATGTATATCAAATCACAAATCATATTTTACATCTTGAATATATACAATTTTTGTCAATTTTACCTCAGTAAAACTGGGAAAAAATATTTGTTGAATTAATCAATACAGTAATTTCTAGTGACCTTTATTATTTTCATCCTTTTTTTTTTTTTTTTTTTAAGTCTCCTTAATCTTTGCTCTTTGAAAAACCAAGATCACTTGCTAAAGCTGACTGTTTCTAGCTTGGACTATAGCAGAGATGGATTGGCTAGAGTCATCCTTTCCAAAATCCTAACTGCAGCTACTGATGTGAGTATAACATAGGCAATAAAACTGTATTTTTATAACCAATGAATTGAATACTTTATAAATTTTAGGCTTAGTAAAATGAATTATAAATTCTAAGAATATGAGATGAAATTGAGTTTACCGATTTTAGTTCCTCTGAGGAACTCCATATAGTACCCGTATTTTTATATCAAGGGGAAAAAGCTGCTAGATGGAAAGGGGAGTATTTTGTGAGCACTAAAAAATTTATATCAAGGGCTAGATCATTAATTTTAGTCTTTCTGCCCTTTTCGAGTAGCAGAACTGTCCCAAAATAAAATCAAATAGGCTATTTGTGATGAAGTTGTCCTTTTTAAATGTATTTATCTATCTTTATAGGCCTGCAGGCTATATGCAACAAAACATTTAAGGGTATTATTGAGAGCTAATGTTGAATTCTTCAATAATTGGGGAATTGAGTTACTAGTGACCCAGCTACACGATAAAAACAAAACGATTTCTTCTGAAGCTCTCGATATCCTCGATGAAGCATGTGAAGACAAGGTGAAGGTTCATTTTTTTATAATGGAATACTTAGACATAAATTTTTATTGAAATATTCAATTTTAATTGACAGTTATATGAAAGTATAATATAATATAGGTATTGTGGAAATAATGAATTTGCTATCCTTGTGAAATTATTAATTTGCCTAATAATCGTCTCTTTTAGGCTAATCTTCATGCTCTTATTCAGATGAAGCCAGCTTTATCCCACCTTGGAGACAAGGGTTTACTTCTCCTCCTGAGGTAAATTTTAAGTAAATTTTTCTTTTTCTTTTTTTTTTTTTTTTTTGGAGACAGGGTCTCACTCTATTACTTGGACTAGAGTGCAGTGGCGTCATCGTAGCTCACTGCAACCTCAAACTCTTGGGCTGAAGCAGTCCTCCTGCCTTAGTCTCCCAAGTAGCTGGGACTACAGGCACCATGTGCCACCACACCAGCTAATTTTCTATTTTTTTTGTAGAGACAGAGTCTGACTTGCTCAGGCTTGTCTTGAACTCCTGGGCTCAAAGGATCCTTCTACTTTGGCCTCCCAAAGTGTTAGGATTACAGGCATGAGCCACCGTGCCCGGCCAAATTTTTCTTATAGTTAAATTTTCTGTTGTTCTCTCTGACAGTGTATATTAAAGCTGGATTCAAATATGAATAGGAAGTACTGTAAAGAGTTTACTTTTTAACTTCTGAAATAGGTCTGCTTTAGAATTTAATACTGAAACTGTCTTTTCACTGTTTTCGTTAATTTTTTTTTTCACATTTCTTTGTCTCCTAATACTTTTCGTGATATTTTCTTTATTGTGACTGGGTTCATGTGTTTTTGCAAAACTTGTGAAAATTTATGTGTAATTGAAGTTATAATAAATTATAATAGAAGTTTTAGTTTTAGGAGGGAACTATTCCTAAAGTCTTATGGCTCCTTAAACATTTTTTAAAATGTGAGGTATTTTAGCTCCTTAAACACTTTAAGTTAGACTAAATTTAAACTATTGCTTGTTTTAATTTACAGATTCCTCTCCATTCCAAAAGGGTTTTCCTATCTGAATGAAAGGGGTTATGTAGCAAAACAATTGGAAAAGTGGCACAAGGTAACTTCTTATTAAATAAGATTTAATTTGTATGTTTTTATCTTGAGAAATAGATTTGTGACTTTAGAGGATGATTTTTTATATTATCTCAACGTTTTGAAACTAGTGAGGTTAAATATTTAAACATTCATATGAAGTCAAGTCCTAAATTCTGTATAATTACTTACTAGTATTTACATTTACCCATTTTTTTAAAAGTACAGTTGTTTCATTTATAGTGAACAGTTGACTTTGTGTACATTCTACTGAATTTAGCTTTCAACTCAGTCGATTTTATAATCTATTTATGTAATTTGTTAACCCTACTTACCATCATTTCTTTTGTTCTTGAGTCCCTTATACAGCCTACAACTTGACATGAACCCTTTTAAGCTAAAACTAAAGTAATTTTTCCAAATGAAGGAAGTTTGAAAATAGTTCAACCCAAGTAGATATAATTATCTAATTAATCTTTGTCTTAGGAGGCTACTTCACATAAATCTGAGAGCAAACTTTTTGCTATCATAGGTAGCAAAAAGGGAAACCTAGTAAGAAGGAAGTAGTTTAAAGGTGTTAAATAACTTCCTAGCTTTTCTTTAGCTGGTTATTGCTGTGGGTTTATTATTTTGTTTGAAGCATTAAAATTGTTGAAGCATCTTGGAAACCCATGGTAAAGGTGATCTATACAAATGTAAAGATTTTTAGATTTTTTGTCATTTCAGATCATTTATCATCTGTTTTTTCTCCTTTCTTTACATAATTACAAATTATTTATATTGTCTACATTTAACATATTTCATAAAAGATACTTATTAAATGGACTAAAACTTTAAAGCATACAACTTAAGGCATGAAGTCTTTCAGTAATTGATGAATTATAGAACTGAGACAAGTTGTAGTATTGTTTCTTAGAAGATATTTAAACCATCACTATAATAAAATTTATTGCCTTACTGTACAACTCATAATATTAGAAAATTGCTTAGCAGATCTGGTGCAGTGCTTTCAAATAGTAGGTACAAAATATAATGCTGTATCAAAGGCATGTGCAAGCGTATAAGGGAATACAGAATTGCATACCTATAGACTCTAATACGATTTGAAAAAAAGTGAAGTCATTATATGACAACTTAAAGCAAAATGAAAATGAAGGATCTAACGATGGAGAACTTAATGCCAGCAAGGGGTGGTTTGATAATTTCAGAAAGAGATTTTTGTCAAATTTGGCTTAAAAAATGTCAAGATAATGGGAGAAGCAGCTTCTACCAACAAAAAACATGAGATAATTTCTCAGATGCCAATAAGAAAATCGAGGAGAAAGGATACCTGCCTTGTTATAAGTGATTGTCCACTGTGTGGGTGTCAGTGTCCTAAGCCCCACATTGTTCAAGTATCAACTGTAAATACAGAACTTAAGGAGTTAAGGTAACACACCAAATTCAAGTAGGCTAAATTGTTTAAAATGGAAAACAAAAGTTTCCGTATTACCTTATTCTGTTTTCTGAAGGTAATGTCTGTTAACAATTTCTTTTATCTGCATTCAGAGATGTATATATCAGTACATATTCTTTATTTTAAAATACAAATGAATTCTGTTTACAAATGAAGATAAAACTGAATTTAATTTTTTTCATTTAGCAGTGTTTGAGAACTCTTTTCAGAGTAGTACATTTAGATCTAGCTCATTCTTTCTAATGACTGTATAATATAATACATTATATGAACATAATTTATATAACCAGTCTTTTATTGATGGGCATTTAGACTGTACCCAAGTTTTTGTTTTCGTGAGTAGTGTTTGCTGGATATTCTTCCCTATATATCTTTGCATACCTGTGGAAGTGTTGGATAAATTTCTGGAAGTATAATTGTTAAGCCAAAACATATATTAGAATTTAAATTTTTGATAAATACTGCCAGATTACTCTATAAAGAGGTTCCATCAATTTCTTTGAGCAGTTTGAAGGGGAGATCTTTTGCCATAAAGATGGCAGTGTGATTGATGCTCAATTTAAAGCATTTAACTAGCAGTTTTTCAGGTGCTAGAAAATATTTTTACATTTGACCTGATTTAAATCAGTAGAGAGAGAGTTATTCTTACTGAAAAGTGCTGAAATGATAATACTAAGTTAATTTCCTTTTTAAAATGTCTAGTTAATATCTCCAGTTAATATTTTTTTAATGTGGAAAGGAACTCAAGATGAAAAAATTACTTACTTGGACCCCAAAATATTAATCGAAAAGGGGGAGGAAATATAAGCAGAAAGCTTACGGATATGATAGAATATTTGCATTCATAATACCTTCTTCTCTCCTTTATAAAAATTTCTGAAATTTCATGAACAGATGCTTTCATTTTTCTAATATTTATGTTTTCAAGATTTGCTAAATATTTGACCTATTATAGAATTAGTGAGTCTCATTATGACACTATATACAATTAAACAACATTATCTTCTAGGAATATAATTCAAAATATGTTGACTTGATTGAGGAACAACTTAATGAAGCACTTACTACTTATCGGAAACCTGTTGATGGTGATAACTATGTTCGCCGGAGTAACCAAAGGTATAGTCCGGTTAATGGAACAATTTATTGCTAGTTCTCAAATATCAAATTTAAAACCAGCTTGCAATAAATCATTATATTTTTAAGTTTTCTGAGTACTCATATGTTCTGTTTCTTATACTGATACAGGACAAATATTAATACACAGCACTGATTGCTCAGGAATTTCAGTGGCATTCATACCATGTTGAATACCCTTACTGATAACAGCATTCAGATATACTCCATGCTCTCACCCCAATCTACTTTTCTATTCGTAGTTCTTTTACCAGTACTTTGAGAGCTAACAAACAATTATAGGTTGAATATCCCTTATCTGAAATACTTGATACCAGAAGTGTTTTGGATTTCAGATTCTGGAATATTCGCATGTATATAATGAGACATCATGGGGACAGGACCCAAATCTAAACATGAAATTCATTTATGTTTCATATACACCTTATACGCATAGCTTAAACATAATTTTATACACTATTTTTAATAATTTTGTGCATGAAACAAAGTTTGTGTTAAGTGCTAATGTGTGGAATTTTTCATTTGTAGCATCATGTCAACATTCAAAAGTTTCAGATTTTGGAGCATTTTGGATTAGGCATGCTCAACTTATATTTTTCATGCCTTCCCATCTCTACATTTTTATTTATGCTGGGGAATTTTATCTCATTTAGTACATTATTAATAGTCATTTGTTTAATTAGCATATCTAAATGAGTCAGTGGGTATATTAATCATCTTTATTATATTAGATTACAGCGTCCTCATGTCTACCTGCCTGTACACCTTTATGGACAACTGGTACACCATAAAACAGGCTGCCATTTGCTGGAAGTACAGGTAAATACATAATTTGCTTAATTTAAATACCTATATTAGTAAAAAAACAAAAAAATCTTAATATTGCTAAAATATTGTCTTAGCAAAACCTTCTCAAAAGCCAGTCAGTGGCACAATGGCGTTTAAAGCTATCTATCTTGTAATTGACTTTGGCATTCTGTGTTTGTTATCCTTAGAAATATTAATGGCCTTGTTTGTATTTCCTGACTTGTGTGTGACTTTTTGAATAGCTAACTTATTATAGAGTAAGCAACCTAGTGAAGGTCTGAGTCCTTTTTTTATAGTTGTTGGAAAACTTCAACTCTCCAAAAACATACCAAAAAACTGAGTTAGTTTCTTCCACTCATTGAGAAGTTAAACTGAACCTAATACAGATTCAGTTATCCTTGTTGAGCAATAAATTGAAAGTTGCTGCTTGTGAGTGCCTCCCTATTCTAATATACTTCATGGAATGTAACAGTTGTTCTTTCAGTATAGTATGTGTACTGCATTTATGGCTGTGAGTATGACTTGCGACCAGGTGTTTTCAATAAATATAACCTTTTTCTTATTTTAGAAATATAGAAATATTTGTGTGTGTATCAACCATAGTTATCTAACAATTTGGTTCTTTTTGTATCAGCATTCATCTCAAGAACACAAAGTTTTGCATAAATATACTCTATAGTTTTATGTGTTTTTATATTTTGTCTGTGAAGACTATCATGGCAGGTACCTTTATATTAATATTTGAAAATAAATTCACTAAAAATGTAAATGATTTCGTCAGTGTCATTACCTACATAGTATGATAAAATGTAAAGGCTATCTTATTTTCTATTTTAAAGAAATAATGATAATTATGACTTTTTATAATACTGCCAGGTACTTTGTTAAGCACTTTATATGTAATAATTTATTAAATCATAAACTCTTATGAGACAGATCCTATTATTATCACCATTCTGGAGGTTAGGAAATCATGGCGTGGGGAGGTCAAGTAACTTGCTCAAGGCCATACAGCTAATAAGTGATAATTCTAGAATATGAACTCAGAACCCATGCAGTAATGCTACCTCTTGAAAATTTTACATAAAATTATTTTAGAATTTTAAATTTGCAAAAATGACTAAAAGCAAACCTTAGGTTTTATAATGCATAAGAAAATACATTGAAGACATATTGCTCATATGGGTATATTTTCTCTTTCTCTAGAATATTATTACAGAACTTTGTCACAACGTTCGTACACCAGATTTGGATAAATGGGAAGAAATTAAAAAACTGAAAGCATCTCTTTGGGCCTTGGTTTGTAATAAACACTTCTGTAAGATCTTCACAATTTTTAGATTTTCTTTTCCATTTTTTTCATTAATAACTAATTAAAAATTATTTTATTTGGAACTTGTTCTTAGATTAATGCCAACCTAAATATTATCTTTATGTTGAAGACTAAATGAACATTAATTTTATTGCTTTTGTTTTCTTGCTGTGACAACTAGAATGTGAACTAGTTCCTAATGTTTTTTAATTGAGGGAATTTTTTGTACATTTTTTTCTCTCATAGATGGGGTTAAATTTGTTTCTTGGTAACTTTCCAAATCTTTTGAAAGAGTTATTCTTGTGAATATTATATAAATGATTTCTTTTCTTTCAGGGAAATATTGGTTCATCAAATTGGGGTCTCAATTTGCTACAAGAAGAAAATGTGATTCCAGATATACTAAAACTTGCCAAACAGTGTGAGGTTCTTTCCATCAGAGGGTATGTCATTTAATTCAGAAATTTTTCTTATGTATATGTTGTTATTCAGAAATGAGTGTGAGGAAAAGTATTTTATGATTTCAGTGTAGTCCATAACTATTAATTCACTGAAAGTCCTAATGATGTAAGATTTTTAAATCCGTCAAGTTAAACATCTTAACAAACTCCTTATTTACTATTATCCTTCTATTGTTATTGTAATATTGAAGTTTACATTGCAGGTAAACAGGGAAGGCATTGTCTATGTATAGATATTCCAGTAGTCCAATAAGCCCAAATATTCCAAATTTATACAAGAAAAGTTAATACGTCTTTTATGCTAAGACTGCATTGTATTCTTTTTATTTTGTTGTAATTACTATTTTTATTAGGAAGGTCTACATTTTTTTTATTTTTGCTAATTTCTCTCTTCCTCCCCTCCCCTCCCCTCCCCTCCACTCCCCTCCTCTCCTCTCCTCTCCTCTTCTCTTTGGCAGAATCTCACTCTGTCATCCTGGGTAGAGTGCAGTGGCATTATCATAGCTCACTGCAACCTCAAACTCCTGGGCTCGAGGGATCCTCTTGCCTCTGCCTCCCGAATAGCTGGGACTATAGGCTCCCACTACCACATCCAACTAATTTTTCTATTTTTAGTACAGAGGTCTTGCTCAGGCTGGCCTCAAACTCCTGAGCTCAAGCGATACTCCCTCCTCAGCGTCCCAGAGTGCTAGGATTACAGGCGTGAGCCACAGTGCCCAGCCAATTTTTGCTAATTTATTTTTAACTAGTTCTAGTACATTTTTTTCCACAAACTAAACAATTTTCAATAAGTTTTAAAGAAAATTCAAGTGTACATGTAGCAAGTCTGTGGTTGCTTTAAGAAATCCCAGTTTGGGATTATAAATTGTTATTATTATATCTTTACATACAGGACCTGTGTATACGTACTCGGGCTCATAGCTAAAACCAAACAAGGCTGTGATATTCTAAAATGTCACAACTGGGATGCTGTGAGGCATAGTCGCAAACATTTGTGGCCAGTGGTTCCAGATGATGTGGAACAACTCTGTAATGAACTTTCATCTATCCCAAGCACTCTAAGTTTGAACTCAGAGTCAACCAGCTCTAGACATAATAGCGAAAGTGAATCTGCGCCATCGAGTAAGTATGATGCAGGTTTATATGAGGTTAGCCGATATTAACATTTATATTTGTATTTTCAAAATTTAAATGTATTTGTTACATTTCTGATTTACTTTTTTTCAGATGATTATTTGGCAATAATAGCATCTTGGAGAATATGTATCTTTTCACAACACAGAGTATAGTCACCAACCTACATTGTTCTCTCCCCTTGCTTTCTAAATAGCTTTTGAAAAATCCTACATGCATAATTATATAATAAGCTATGTGGCAGAAGAACCATCCCATTTTTTATTGTCAGAAAACAGACAAATATAACAAGTATTTGTCTATCTTCGTCATTTATTACTCATTTAACTCATTTTTCAGATACAGAGATTGTTGAACCAGAATATATTTTTCAGACATCCTGTATTCACGTATTCATTTTTGAGAGATGCACTGAATTTTAAGGCAGTGGAATTATTAGGAGATAGAGCACCAAAGTTATTACATATAAAGCGGTTTGTGGTTTTTAAGCCCTGTGCTATGTGCTGTTAGGTATATAAAATTTAAGGCATGAAGTCTTCCTTTTAAGAAGATAGTGCAACATTTATTAGACCATATTTCACCAAATCTAAGATTCCATAAATTATAAGATGCACTAGTAGTTTGTATACCATTAAGAAAGAAGAAAAAAATGCTGCTTATTAAACTGTGACATACCACTGATTGCAAGATGAATTCTGATTTTAAAATCAGAGATTCTGTGTGAAAATAGGAGAGATTAAATGTGAAAAATGTGCATCTTAGAATTGACAAAATATAGAAGTGCAATTTAGTATGCAAGTTCATTTAGGATTTTCTTTTACCTTTTTTCAAAATATATTTGAAGTAGTTTATTCAACAGAAGAGTTAAAAATAGAATAGAATCCTGTAGATGTCATTAGGCACCTGGGTTGAGTCTTCTATTAGAGTTGGGCACTGAACTTAGGTAAGTTTCTTAGTACCTAAGGCAAATGGAAAATAAACATTATTAGTATAAATGTGTATTTATAATAAAATGTAACATAGTTCTTTGTACCTATGTTTAAGATTAGGAATTCATTTCTTACAAGATTATTGTGATTTGAGGAATAAGCCAATAGGATTCTGGACCAATTGAACAAGCATCCATGGTCAAGTCTCTTTTTTTCCCCTTTTTAATTTCATCCTAAATATTGGAAGAATCAAAAGAAACTTTATGTAACCTGTACCATAGTGAGTCTTGTGGTTTTTCTGTGGAAATAACAGGAGATGACATTATTTTACATTTTATTCAAGTCTAAACTCTGGGTTTCAAGGAAACTCTTTTCATATGGCTCAATAGTTTAACCCTTTATTTTTAAATTTTTTTCCCCTAGGTGACTAAAAAAACTATTATGTTACTAGTAGTTACCATGAATTTATCATTTTATATAGGCTTTTATTAATTGATCTTTCAATCATAGGTATGTTCATACTGGAAGATGACCGATTTGGCAGCAGCTCTACTAGTACGTTTTTCCTTGACATCAATGAAGATGCAGAGCCAGCATTTTTTGACCGATCTGGACCCATAAAGGATAAAAATTCATTCCCTTTCTTTGCTTCCAGTAAACTTGTGAAGAATCGTATCTTAAATTCACTTACTTTGCCTAATAAAAAACATCGTAGTAGCAGTGATCCAAAAGGAGGGAAACTGTCATCTGAAAATAAGACAAGTAACAGACGAATCAGAACACTTACGGAGCCCAGTGTTGACTTTAATCACAGTGATGATTTTACACCCATCTCCACCGTACAGAAAACATTACAATTAGAAACTTCATTTGTTGGGAATAAGCACATCGAAGACATTGGTAGTACTCCAAGTATTGGAGAAAATGACTTAAAATTCAACAAGAGTTTTGGCGTAGAGAATCACAGAGAAAACACAAGCCGAGAGAGATTAGTTGTAGAAAGTTCAACGAGCTCACATATGAAGATTCGTAGCCAAAGTTTTAATACAGACACTACAACAAGTGGCATAAGTTCAATGAGCTCAAGTCCTTCCCGAGAGACTGTAGGTGTAGATGCTACAACTATGGACACGGACTGTGGAAGTATGAGTACTGTGGTAAGTACTAAAACTGTGAAGACAAGTCACTATTTGACGCCACAGTCTAACCATCTCTCTCTCTCCAAATCAAACTCAGTGTCCCTGGTGCCTCCAGGTTCTTCTCATACACTTCCTAGAAGAGCGCAGTCCCTTAAAGCACCCTCTATTGCTACAATTAAAAGTCTAGCAGATTGTAACTTTAGTTACACAAGTTCTAGAGATGCCTTTGGTTATGCTACACTGAAGAGATTACAGCAACAAAGAATGCATCCATCCTTGTCTCACTCTGAAGCCTTGGCATCTCCAGCAAAAGATGTGCTGTTCACTGATACCATCACCATGAAGGCCAACAGTTTTGAGTCCAGATTAACACCAAGCAGGTGAGCAAGTATGTGTTTAAAAATAACCAGTAATGATGGCATTTTAACAGATTTAAATGTAAAGCATTAGCGAGGTTTTGTACCGCATAAGCCTCGTAACTGACCTATTATAATTGTTTACTATGGTAGGTTATAAGCTCCTTGTTACCCCCGATATGATTTGAAATGGATTCTTGCAGCTGCAAGGGGGGAAAAAGAAACTCCTGTAGGCCCTGAAAATAAACATAAATGTTTTACAAGGACACATAAGTCATAAGCTTTTTTTTATTTATTTCTCGCTTCTGCAAGGATCGATTTTAAAAAGAAGCATGTCGGGGGAATCAGGAGCTTAAGACCTACAATAACAAACAACCTTGTCAGGTAGGTCAATTTAAGGCTCCAAAAGTTGACCTCTTTATTTATTTATTTTTAAGATAACTGAAAATTTCAATGAAATTATTTTCAGTGTAAGTAGCTATGATTATTAAGTAGGAACCTAATAAACACTAAATGAATTACTTGGTCCTCAAGACTCAAGGGATTTCTATACCATATTTTGATTATATCGAGCTGGTCAAAGTGTAAAGTTTAGATTTTACCTTTAAAAGGTATGTGATATTAAGCTTGATCGTTGCAAAAATTTCCGTACCTATATTTTTTATTGTTGGGCCAAATGTTTCTAAATAACTTTCTTTGGTTTTAAATTATTTATTTACATTTATTTAAATGGATTAATATATGTCAAGTGCATATATTTCAACAATATAGATTAGAATAATGTCTGGCACAAATTTTGTACTCACCCAAAGTTAGCTATTATTATCATCATCATCAGTAGTTACTTGATGGACACCATCTATCTCTTACATTAAATTCCTACTAACATTAGGAGTTTTGTTTTAATAATGCTTAACACATTTAATAGAGAGTTTCCTGGTAGCAGATGAGGAATTATGTCCCCTCTTGTAGGGTTTAATAAATTACTCATTAATGCCTCATCTAACTGGAACTCACTGGCTTTGGCAGCCATATCCAGAACAAAGCCAGGCAGACCCCTGAACGACTCATTGTTACAAATCTATGCAGTAAATCTGAATTTTGAAATTTCTAGGGCTGTTTCCTCATCTGGTGGAGATTGGACTAGATCAGTGGTTTTAAGCTTTTCTAATGTTGCTTTTTAAGCAGAGAAACCATTTTTTTTAATGTACAAAAAGGTTTCTATAGAAACCCAATATGAAGAGTAAATAGAAATGGAGTTACACTGGTTGAAATGGCAATTGGAAAGGAGAATAATCCAATAATTCTTTCCTCCCACTCTAATAGTCCTTGAAGAGTTTTATGGAGTCAGGTGTAACAGAGTATAATTTTTTGACCTCTTTTATAAAATTCATAAATTTCACTTGAGTGGTTTTTGTGTGGAAATTAGGAGTGGTTGCTGCTATGATAGTCTTCTTGGCTACTATTAATATTTATGAAGCACTTATTTTGTGTATTTTATGAAATAATTCTTTGATTTAATATCAGGCTACATTAGTACATTTGAAAAGGTTTGGTTTCCCAAATAGCATTTCCAAATAAAGAAATGTGGAACCTTCCCTAGTACCTTATATATATAGCAGACACCAAGTAAATATTAGGTCATTAAGTATGAAATGTCCAATTTCCTTAAGTACTACGTTTGACAGTTGATCTCTCTGACATTTCACTTTGACATTTCTTGTTTTTGTTTTTGTTTTTTTTTTTTGAAGGTACATCCTAATTCTTTCAAATGCATGTTTTGCCTTGTGATTATCTTGCAAAATAATTTTTAGAGCAATTTTTGTGAGACCATGCGTAAGTCAAAAATTCGCGTTATTTTTGATTATGAGTTCCATCGTGGAACCAATGCAGTACAGACAGCTAGAAATATCAAAGAAGTGTTTGGGAAGTATGTGGCTAATGAACACACAGTACATCGATAGTTTGAGAAGTTCTGTTCTGGTGATTTTCGTCTTGAAAATGAGCCATGTCAGTGACTTTGAAACCAAGGTGGATAATGATGAGCTGAAAGCTATAGTGGAAGTGAATCCATCTCACCCTATGCGTGAATTAGCAGAAAGGTTTGACATTACTGTTCCAACAATATTGGACCATTTGAAACAAATGGGCAAGGTAAAGAAGCTGGACAGATGGGTACTGCGTGAATTAAATGAGCATCAGAAGAGAAGTCATCTTGAAGCTTGCCTTTCTTTGCTGTCATGACATAAAGGCAAACCATTTCTACACTGTATTGTTACGTGTGATGAAAAATGGATTCTTTTTGACAATTGCAAGTGTTCAGCACAATGGTCGGATAAAGGTAAAGTACTGAAACACAGTCCAAAACTGAATATTCATCACAAAAAGCTAATGGTGTCTGATGGTCCAGTGCTGGTATTATCCACTATGACTTCATGAATCCTGGTCAGTTGATTGCAGTGGTTGTCTGCTACAACCGATTGGACAAAATGATGAGGATGCTTGCAATTAAGCAGCTGAAATTGGTCAATAGAGACAGTCCAATCCTCTTGCAAGACCACACGTTGCAAAAAACAACATTGCTCATACTATAGAAGCTAGACTTGGAAACTCTCTGTCATCCACCATATTCACCAGACCTTACACCAACTGACTTCTTCCAGACTTTGGACCACTGCATGCAAGGAAAAATATTCAATTTTCAACAAGCTGTGGAAAATGCCTTTTGTGGTTTCATTGCCACTGGTCTCCAGGCTTCTTCACTGCTGGCATAAACAAGTTACCGTTAAGATGGCAAAATTGTGTCGATAGTTTACTTTGATCAATTTTACTGCTTCTCGTTTGAGTTATAATAAACTTTTGATTTGAAATCAGACATTTCATATTTAATGACCTAATGTTTTTAGCATGTCTGTTGCATGAATAAGAATGTATATGAGAAAGATATATCTTATAGAAATAGCAGTATATCATATTTATAGTGGAATCTCTAGTAAAGGAGTACATTGTAGAAATAGTGTTTCATATGAGGCTATCTCTTGTATATTGTAATATTTATAAATGATACCATTTTGCTGTCTTGTGTCTTCTGTGTTATATAAATCTTACGTTGATAATGAAAGATTAATTATTACCACACAAAAATGACAAGTAATTGATTTTATTTTTCATAAATATAGTGTTAAATAGAATTAATACACATATCCTTAGGTATATAATAGCAAATCTAGCAGTCTCAGTGAGTGCTAAGATAGTCCTTAGAACACATCTCTGACTTCTGAAGTCAGTTTCTTTTTTTTACGTCTAGATGTTGAAAGTTATTCTAATTGCACACCTTTTCACCTTTACCTGGGAGATCATAACAGTTGTTATGTCAACTGTTATGTAACAGTCAACATTACTGGTGACTTTTTACATATACACCTATAACAGCTATTATTTTAAAGTGTATATGTGTTCCCAGTAAACAAGATGACACTGCTTAGTCTTGGTGCTTGACTAGCTACTTGTCTATTATAAGGATAGGAATATAAGTTATTTCTTTATATGATTAATATTACAAATCAAGAAACTAATGCAGCGGATTTTTTATGGTTTTATAGGTTCATGAAAGCTTTAAGTTATGCATCATTAGATAAAGAAGATTTATTAAGCCCTATTAATCAAAATACCCTGCAGCGATCCTCCTCAGTGAGATCCATGGTGTCCAGTGCTACATATGGTGGCTCAGATGATTACATTGGTCTTGCTCTCCCAGTAGACATCAATGATATATTCCAGGTATCATCATAGATTTTATTGTTATGAGTTGATTTCCTGTTTTTTCCTATTCTATAACTGCTTACTAGAAATTGTGATTTGGGGGAAGTTCCCTCCCACAAAGACAGAGCCTTGCCCTGTCACCCAGAATGGAGTATAGTAGCACAATCACAGCTCACTGTAACCTCAAACTCTTGGGTTCAAGTGATCCTCCTACCTCAGCCGCCTGAGTAGCTAGGACTACAAGTGCGTACCACTGCACCTGGCTGATGTTTTGTTTTGTTTTTTTTTTTAAGAGACAGGGTCTCTCTATGTTGCCCAGGGTGGTCTGAAACTCCTGGCCTCAAGTAGTCCTCCTGCCCCAACCTCCCAAGTTACTGGGATTATAGGCATGAGCCACCATGCCCAGCCAGGGAAAATGATTTTTTAAGGCAGTTTTATTTAAAAAAATTTTTAGACGAGAATTGTTTTAGCTTTTTCAACTGTTCCTTACTCTTTTATTTAGTATCTATAGGTCCTTAGAACCTTATCCTTTCCTCTCTTCTCATACTAAATCAGTATCTTGTTTGATTTCTTTTTTCATATATTCTCTGTAGAAATTTACTAAATTCCTAACCTTGTTTTTTCATCATGATTAACTTATTCCTTATTTTTTAATCCTTGATTATTTTTATCCCATATGAGGTAGCCACATGGTGCCCAGTGATATAAGGTAGCCCTAATCCCATGAGGTACAAATCTCTAGGATAGTACTAAAGAATACACATTTGTTTAGAAGTCTAAAGACATTTTAGATAAACACTAAAATAATTATTTTAATATCCATTTACTCACCAAGAATATGATAATTTCTTTCAGGGTTATTATTAATATTTTGTCAAGTTTTGGTGATTTAACCTTCTTCAGGAAACTTTTCATTATAGGTTCATATGCTATAGTAATTCTATTTTAAGTGTATTTCATTTAATTTTGCTATTATTCATAAAATAGATTTCTTTTTATAGCAGGACTTACCGTGATTTATATGTGTTTTAGGTAAAGGATATTCCTTATTTTCAGACAAAAAACTTACCTCCACATGATGATCGAGGTGCAAGAGTATTTGCCCATGATGCAGGAGGTAATACATCTTCTTTGTTCTTACGTGACTCCTCTTTCTATTAAAAAGAAAATTTTTCATTCTTTTTAGTAGTATGACACTTAAAATTCAGGCCTGCCCACTTTTGGATCAACCTAAAAATTTACCAAAATAATTTGAGTCAACTTAAAATTACAATATTTTTTTGTGAGGGACTTAAAGTGTTTTCCCAGCTAAGTACTCAGCATCTCAAGAAGATAAAAACCAAATGAGTTGTTTTCCATTTTTTAAAAAATAGTACATGAAAAATTTATAGAGCTAATCCTTATAGGTCCAAGAAATAGCTGTTTGTGTGGAGTAAGGAGGGAGATAAAAATGTACTTATAAATTATATGATCTTTTTTAGTATGAACTGTTATATTTTAATGAATATATGCATGTAGGCCACAGGTTTAATAGCTTTATAATCGTGATAATTTTTTTAAGAAATACCTCTTTATACTTAGAAATATTTTCTTTAGGCAGATATTGGAGATAATTGAAATGATGCATTAATTATATAATCTCAGTTTTCCATTTTGTATTTAAAACTGTATTAAAGTAATATAATTTTTTCTGCTGACTTTGGTTATTTTTATAATTTAAAGCAAATTATTCTTTTTTCCCCAGTTAAAGTCAGATTTTGAGTCATAAGAACTGTTTTCATTTTCATTCCTAAATTTTATATAATTTAAGGTACTTTGAAAAATACCATCTTTATCAGATTATATTTTATATTTACTTCCGCACAGGTCTTCCATCTGGAACTGGAGGTCTTGTAAAAAACTCTTTTCACTTGCTACGACAGCAGATGAGTCTTACGGAAATAATGAATTCAATCCATTCAGATGCTTCTTTGTTTTTAGAAAGTACAGAAGACACTGGACTACAGGAACATACAGATGATAACTGCCTTTATTGTGTCTGTATCGAAATTCTGGGTTTCCAGCCCAGTAACCAACTAAGTGCGATATGTAGTCATTCAGGTAAGTGATCATGTCCTTTGAGATGAATCCGTCTGAATTCAAATCTGCTCCAGTCAGATAAGTCATCTCCCAGCCCTATTGGTGATCCCCTCTTCTCCATTCTCACTGCCTCTGCCTTATTCAGCCACTTACCACCTCTCTGTTGGAGTGTTGGTATCTCAGCCTCAAATTTTGGTCCCTTCCAACTCATATTTCATACTATTGCCTGGAATTAATCTGTGTGCAATTCTTTACTGGCTATTCATGCCCAATACACAAGACCTTTTGTGATCCTTTATTTCACCATTCTCCTATTTTGTAGGTGACATACCATTATTGATTGATTTTGAAGTTTTTGAACAAACTTCTAGACATGAAAAATGTGTTTTCCCTGCTGTTCTCTCTTTGCCTCTCCTACCCCACGCAGACATATATCTGGTCTGTTTAGCAAGTCCACCTCATCCTAAGTATCAGCAGTATATTTATTGCCTGGGAAGTGTTGTCTGACGCTCTAAGTCAGGTGTTGACGCTCCTTTCTCTTCACTCTCATTGCCTTTTGCACATAGATCTCTTATAATAATTATGATTATTATTGCTTGGTTATTTTTGTCTCTTACACTCAGTAAGTTCCTTCAGGGCATGATCTGTTGTGTCTTTTCATTTTTATATTTCTAATACCCAGGTAATACTGCTTTGTACAGTAGGCCCTCAATATGTATTTGGTGAGTGAGTAAATAAAATGGCCCTAGATTACACTTTTTTATATGAATCAACAAGTGACATATATTAGCAATTTCAAATTAGTACATATGTGATTTAAGTGTTACCCACATATACCTTTTCTTGGTGAATATCACTTAGCCACCCTCAGAAAAACCTAGTAATGACCAAAGTTCTCTGGTTTACTTTTCCACATTTCTTCTTTGTGTTCTAATTCAGAGCTTCCCAAGTGATACTGCAGCACACTAATATGCCACAAATAGGATATGGTTGTTCTGAGGTATTGATCCTCTCGATAGTTCCATGTTTTAGTGGGTCCTGGGTTTGACAAATCCCTGGATTAGGCACTTTCCGCTGTGAACAAACTCTGGTATGCTGTAATTATTTTCATTTTCTGTGAGTGGAAAATTTTGGAAAGGTATTTGTTTAATGTATTGCACACAATAGAGAAGATGCTATTTTAAATCATTTGGCTATTCATCATTCGTGATTTAATTCCTGCAAGTTCTATTGCTTCATTTACTCATTCAGTAAATGCTTATGAAGTACTTGCTTTGCTATACTGTTTTTTACTTACGAAACAAATAAGGGGACCAGCCTTCTGATACCCAGTCACAAGACAATCACAGCTATTTCTAATCCATTTGTGATCTGTAATAGGAGTGATCAAGCAGAGTTATAAAGTTTGGGACTTATACTGCAGTCAGAGGGGCTCTCACCTTGGCACAGCCGTTGGAGCCTCCTCTCCAGCTTTTTATTCTAGTGATGTGAGGTGTTAGAGTGAGGAGCAGCAGGGCAAGAATAACTCTTAATTGGGAAATTATTACAATTTACCTATTGATTCCCATTTTAGAGGTATGAGGGGAGGAAGGCTAATTGAATCCTTAAACATTCATGCACTCAATATAATATTTTTTACACAACTACCATGGTTCAGGCATTGTGCTAGATGCTAGGAAAGCAGTTGTGAGGAGGGAAAAAGCCCACCAAAAGGACACTGTTTCTGTACTCTTTGAGCTTTAGTCTAGTAGAGAAAGAAATGTATTGATTAATTGACCATCTATACAGATATAATACTGCATTTATAACAAGTGTCATTAAGAATAGGTACATGGTACTAGCCAAGGAATATGACCAAGTAGGCAGGTCAAAGAGATTTTCTAAAGAAGTTACTGTTAAGCTGTGATCTAAAGAATGAGTAGAAGCTAAGTAAAGACTGGTATAAAGAGTATCTTAGAGGGAATTGCAAATGCAGAATTTCTCCAGTGGGAGTGAACATGGGGAATCAAAGAGTCTAAAAAGATATCTGTGTGAATAGAGCTCAGAAAGCACCAGGAAGGAGATAAGAGATGAGCCTAGGAAGATCTATAGAGACCAGGCCCTGCAGAGCCCTTGCTACTCAAGAGTATGGTCCATGGACCAGCAGCATCAGTGTCACCTTGAGATCTTGTTGAAAATGCTCCACCCCACAACTTCTTTCAGGATCTGCATTTTAGCAAGACTCCCAGGTGGTTCATATGAACAATAACCTTAGAGAAGTACTGCTACAGACTATATTAAGGATTTTGTGTATCAGAAAGAAGACATCTTTATCTGTGAATGATAACTAAAAAATAGTTCGACTATATAATGATTATTTTAAAGGGATGTCAAGTCTTGAACACAAGACATTTCATTCTCTAGAACTTCTAATCTGGTGGTGGTGGTGTTGGTTTAAAATAGTAAAGCTCAGAGAAAAGACTGTTAGACTAGGATATTTAGTAATACATTTTATGCTGTGTTCTGACACCTTCACAGGTATTTATACATTGTACAGTTCTAGTGTGCAAGTCAAAAAGGTTGGTCTTCTAAAATTCAATATTTTATATTTCTGTCGAGTCCCATTTATACATACCACCACAGTTGCCCTAGTGTAGTTAACCAACTTATAGTGGGAAACTTTTGAGTGTTATAGACCACTCTATCTAAAAGAACATTAGGAAAAAAACAACCACCTATAAAAGGTAATGGCATGAGGATCAGTTTGAATGTCTAGGTTATTAAATTGACAATTTGTGGGGAGTGGGTAAAAACTACACTGGGGAGAGGAGGAGCCCAAAGAGACAGTGGTGGTTTTCAACTTCTTTAGCTGTAAAAGTCATGTTTAATCAAAATCTGTACAAAAGACCAGTGGTATACAAATGAGCATGTTAGGGGAAAGATGAAGTGGAGCCCCCTTCACCTGGCCTTCTTCTTGTCCAAGTGACAACCTTTGAGGAGGCCCCAAGAAATGCTAGCACTCCAGGAAACACTGAAGACCCAGGTATAAATAGAGCAGTGAGCTTTCACATCAAGAAAACTCAGGTTCAAAGCTGAGCTGTTCCACCCAATTAGTTATTTGATCTTGGGCAATCTGTCTGATCTCATTGAGCTTTAGTTTTTGTTTTTGGTTAAGTCTCTAAATGGCAATAATGATAACCTTATGGTGTTGTTTTGGTGTTTAATAACATGTAAGATTAGCATTCAGTAAATGGTAATTCGCAGTAAATTGTTTATGTTAGAAATAACGTTCTCTTATAAATTCTATTAGTTCAGTTGTAGTGATTCTACTGTGCTCCTAAGGAAAATGTCTTTGCTCACTTTCTTTTACATCTCCTGCTGCCCAGTAGAATTAGTTATTAGGTGGATATAAATGTATCAGGATAGAGCTTCTCACAGAATTCTTAACTTTTTCCCAAAATAACTGTGTTAGTATTTCCCATAAGGTATTTTGTGACTTACTGCTTTCTGGTAGGAAAAATTTAGCTTATGATTTTTTAGAAAAATTAATCCAGATGTTTGTTTCATTTTGTTTTTGCCTCCTAAAGCTTTTTATTCTTTCCCATATGGAGTGGCATTTAGCTGGAGCCAGCCTTATGCTGAGCTATGTGGTGTAAAGAAAGCAGCTAGTCTCTTTGTTTAGGGTATGTTCCATATCCTATGCTTTTTGTCTACATTTTTAATTAAAAGATAAAGCTAAGGTAAAGTATTAGTAATTAAGACAAGAGGAAACAATAAAAGCAAACAACTGTGGTTAAGAAGCTAAACATCAACCATTTAGATAAAACCACTTAGTTTATAGCCATAATGCTTTATCCAAATTAAATAACATCAAACTGAATGGGGAAAAGTTGAAAGCAAATCCCAGTAAGAACTGAAACAAGATAGCTACTGTCCCCACTTCTTTTCAATATAGTGCTAGAAGTCCTAACCAGAGCAGTCAGGCAAGAAAAAGATGTAAAGGGTATCCATATCAGGAAAGAGGATGTCAAACTATTGCTTTTTGCTGATGACATGATCTTATATCCAGAAAACCCCAAAGACTCCACCAAGAGACTCCTGGAATTGATAAATAAATTCAGCAAAGTCCCAGGTTACAAATTCAGTGTACACGAATCAGTAGCATTCCTATATACCAATAACAGTCAAGCTGAAAATCAAATCAAAGACTCAATACCATTCACAATAGCCACAGAGAAAATAAAATACCCAGGAATATACTTACTCAAGGAGGTGAAAGATCTCTACCAAGAGAACTACGAAACACTGAAGAAAGAAACCGCAGATGACACAAACATATGGAAAAGCATATCACTCACATGGGTCAGTAGAATCAACATTGTTAAAATGTCCATACTGCCCAACATGATTTACAGATTCAATGCAATCCCCATCAAAATACTAACATCATATTTCACAGATCTAGAAAAAATTATACTTCATTTAGAACCAGAAAAGAGCCTGAATAGCCAAAGCAATATTAATCAAAAGATCAAATGTGGAGGCATCACATTACCAGACTTCAAACTACACTTACTACAAGGCTATAGTAACCAAAACCGCATGGTATTGGCACAAAAATAGAGCCAGATATAGACCACTGAAACAGAACGGAGAACCCAGATATAACACCATCCACATACGGCCAACTGATCTTTGACAAAGCAAACAAAAATATACACCGGGGAAAAGAAGCCCTGTTCAATACACAGTGCTGGGAATATTGGATAGCCACATGCAGAAGAGTAAAACAGGATCCGTATCTCTCACCACTTACAAAAATTAACTCAAGGTGGATAACAGACTTAAATGTAAGGCATGAATCCATAAGAATTCTAGAAGGAAATGTTGGAAAAACTCTTCTAGATATCAGCCTACGCAAAGAACTTATGAAGAAGACACCAAGGGTAATCACAGCAACAACAAAAATAGATAAATGGGACTTGATTAAATTAAAAAGCTTCTGTACAGCCAAGCAAACAATCAACAGAGCAAATAGACAACCTACAGAATGGGAGTAAATATTAGCAAGCTATATATCTAATGAAGGGCTAATAACCAGAATCTACAAAGAACTCAAGCAATTCAGCAAGAAAAAAACAAACCTCATTAAAAATTGGACAAAAGACATGAACAGAAACTTTTCAAAAGAAGATAGACAAATGGCCAGTAAACATATGAAAAAATGCTCAATGTTACTAATCATCAGGGAAGTGCAAATCAAAACCACAATGATATATCACCTTACCCCAGTTAGAATGGCTTTTATTAAAAAGTCCAAAAACAATAGATGCTGGCATGGATACAGAGAGAAAGGAACACTTATACACTGTGGGTAGGACTGCAAATTAGTACAACATCTATGGAAAATAATGTGGAGATGGCTCAAAGAACTAAAAGTAGACCTACCATATGATCCAGCAATCCCATTACTGGGTATTTACCCAAAGAAAAAGAAGTCATTTTATCAAAAAGACACCTGCACTTGAATGTTTATTGCAGTACAATTCACAATTGCAAAGATGTGGAATCAACCCAGGTACCCATCAATGCATGAGTGGATTAACAAAATGCGGTATGTGTGTACTAGGGAATATTACACAGCCACGAAGTAGGATAAATTAAAGCCTTTTGCAGTGACCTGGGTGGAACTGGAGACCACCCTTTTAAATAACGTATCTCAAGAATGGAAAAACGAATTCCACATGTACTCACTAGTAAATTGGAACTAACTGATGTGCACATGTATACACAGAGGGAAGTAAAACTCAGTGGAAATCAAGGAGAGGAAAGGGTGGTGGAAGGGATGGGCAAAAACCTACCTAACAGGTACACTGAACACTGAGTGATGGGTACACTTGTAACCTTGACTGAAGCATAACAAAAACGATCCATTTGCAGTCCCATAATATTTTGAAATAATTTTTGAAAATAAAATTGCTCAATAATTCAAGCTTTAAATTTTTTTTAAAAAAATAAAATATATTGAGGGCCGGGCGCGGTGGCTCACGCCTGTAATCCTAGCACTCTGGGAGGCCGAGGCGGGTGGATCGCTCAAGGTCAGGAGTTCGAGACCAGCCTGAGCAAGAGTGAGACCCTGTCTCTACCAAAAAATAGAAAAGAAATTATCTGGACAACTAAAAATATATATATATATAGAAAAAATTAGCCAGGCATGGTGGCGCATGCCTGTAGTCCCAGCTACTCGGGAGGCTGAGGCAGAAGGATTGCTTGAGCCCAGGAGTTTGAGGTTGCTGTGAGCTAGGCTGACGCCACGGCATTCACTCTAGCCAGGGCAACAAAGCGAGACTCTGTCTCAAAAAAAAAAAATAAAAAAAAAAAAATAATGAGTAAAAATGTGTCTAAGTTTCATTGCTTAGAATATTGCTTAATAGAGGATAGAAAATAAAAGTCCCTCAAGGTAAGTATCCTCAGTCTAGAATGTAGTTTTGCTGTCAGCTAAGTTATAGACATCATCTTCCATATATAAGAAAGAGCAGGCCAACTAGCTGTTTACGTTCTTCAATTCCAAGAATTTTTGTTTCTCTTTATCCTGCCAATTTATAAATAATGCCCATATTGTGCCCACATAATCTTTGAGTTTTCCATTTAATGTGCATAATTATGTCATATGGTTTATCATGTTTCACAAAAAAATATGTAAGAAGAGCCTTCTATTGCTATACTTAAGATGCTATTTTACTTCTCCAGATGGAATAAACTAATTATTTTTGAGCTTTGCTTACCTAGAGGAATGAATTTTTTTTTTAAGTGAAAATGAATGACTTCTTTAGAAATAGGAAGCAATTGCAACAGACTAGAAATATTAGGAGTCATTACAGGTCGAAAGTTAAGCTGAAACAAACTAGTTTATAACTTTCAGAAGAATGTTGAATGAGAAAAGTGTAACTTTCTTACTATTACTTGTACAGGAATATTTTACCATTCTCTGGGAAGTTCATCAACTAAATCTAAAATATTCATCCGTCTTTTGTGATTATTCAGTATTACTGAGGAGAGCTACATTAAAAAAATTGTTTTTAAGTATATTTTTATTTCTCAAATCTTTTTTCAGTATTTTTTTTTAAATCATTGTATAATTTAAGTAGCATGTTTCACTTTTAAGTGCCTGAGAGATGCCTAATAACGAAAATTTTAAAACTATGGTAAATTTATAGATCTTCTTTTTCCAAGAAACAGAAGCATTTTCTGTTCAGTATTATGTAAATAGTAATCTCAGGAAGTGCTTGGAGGTGAAACGAAGCGGTGATATTTCTGTTTGTGAAAACCAACATAGGGAGAGGTAGTATGTATGGTTGACACTGGTCTGATTTCCTGAACTTTTAAAAATTCAGCTGTTTTTTTCCTACTCAGACAACATAGAGAAAAGGTACTGGAGTAGCTTTCAAGAGGTCTTACCTCCTAGCTGAGCGTATGTCTTCTTTCTGTGAATCTGTCTTCTTTCATAAGATGAAAGCTTTAATTAATTTCCAACATTTCTTGTAGCACTAAGTTGTATGATTTTATTGGTTGCCCAGTGTTAACTTCCTTAAAAGGATAACTAAAAATTTCCTGATTTCCATTTGCTCTAATCACTTAGTGTAAGTGCCCAGCAAAATTTTAAATTAAAGCATTTTAACAACACTAAGATGTTTGGTTGACTTCAAAAATCTCATCTAGGAGTACCTTAGCAGTGCATGGGTAAGGATAGTAAATTTAATTCTAAGGAACAAATTGAACTTTAGATAAGCCAGGGGAGTGTGATTCTTATATTGGTACTTATTTAATGGTGGGGAGGGAGCAAGTCATAGAATAATACATATGGTATAATCGCATCAATACACTCAAAGAGCAAGAGAGAAAAAATTAAAATAGTGTAAGAGCTGAAGTTATGTATTATACTATACACCAGACACAAACACACACGTATATAAAGCTTTTAATGGCACTTTCCTATGGAGGTTGATATTTAGGTAGGTGTAGGAGGGATGGAAGAGGAGGGATTAGATAACAATTTAAATTCTATGTACATTTTTATTTGAATTTTTAAAATAATCACAGATTCTATATTATTTTTGTTATTTAGGAAAATAAAGTCTTATTTATAAATGTCTTTAGAATTTAACAAATTTCACTCTGAGCAATGAATTTCTGAGCAGTCTAAATTTACTCTGAAAATCTTCATCACGGAGAGTAATTGTTGAAACTGGAAGAAGAAATTACAAGGAATAATCTCTTTTATAGCATGCAGGGTAAGCACAGAAATTAAGCCATTATGATGCTTTAATTGAAATAATTATTTTTTTTCTTCAGACCTTCAAGATATTCCATATTCTGATTGGTGTGAACAGACTATCCACAATCCCTTGGAAGTGGTTCCCTCTAAGTTTTCAGGGATTTCTGGATGCAGTGATGGGGTGTCTCAAGAAGGCTCAGCTAGCAGCACCAAAAGCACAGAATTGTTACTAGGTGAGTTTTCAGATTCAGTTGTAATCTTTATTAATAAAATTGTACTTATTAGTCGATTTTGTTTTTCATAAATACTGTAAATTAAAGTTGTCTCAAAAGTATAGCAAGTCAATTTTAGTGAAGCAATTTAGCAGACTCTTAAGTATTGTACCTGTATCAGCTACTGACATGGATCCTCTTAGCTGTCTGCTTTTATTAGAAAGAGTTTTGCTCTCCAAATGATGGGCAGGACATGAGTAATTAATATCAATTTTAGATCTTTAGTTTAAAAACAAATTTCCTGAGTTATAATCATTTTTTATTGTGATATAGATAAAATATTTAACTTTACACTGAAATCTTCTTTTCAGGTGTTAAAACAATTCCAGATGATACACCAATGTGCCGTATACTCCTTCGAAAAGAAGTTTTAAGATTAGTCGTTAATTTGAGTAGTTCAGTTTCAACTAAATGTCATGAAACTGGGCTTTTAACGTGAGTAAACTATGTACATAAATATTATTTGTTCTGCTTTTTAATGTGAGAAAAGATACTTGAAGCACTTCAAAAGTTAGACTAACTTACATCAGTAGTTCTAAACTGCATTGCATATCTGTGTGAGACTAGATTTTCTTTGTGTACTTCAACCAAAACAACACATGGTAACAGATTGAATGCAAAAGCAGGAATGAGAATCCAGCTATTTTCTATTATGCTGGACTTTTAAAGAGATCTCTAAAAATATAAAACAAAGCCACTCTTCTTTTTTTAGTTTTGGGAAATAGTTATTTTTCATTAAAATGTTATTTATGTTAACATGTAATTGATTTTTTTAATGAATTAATATTTTGAAATTTTCTTAATTTTAATTTCTTGCATGGTAGTTAATGATGGCTATAACCCACAAAAAAATAGGCTTTTGGTGGTCCTCAATAATTTTCAAGAAAATAAGGAAGTCCTGAGACTACAAAGGTTAAGAAAAATGAACTTATATAAAACAAGTGATATATTCTTAGTTTAATTTTTTTCTCTATGTTTCCTCCTTTTTTCTCTTAATAGAAATTGTGGAATTTTTGTTTTTCTAAATCACAGCAGCATGGTAAAAGAAAATTCAGATGGAATCTTCAGCACCTTTATTTGAACTATTTAGAGTAGTGGTTCTCAGAGGACGTGCACCTCAGGGTCTTCTGTAGGGCTTTTTAAAAGGTGCTGTACATGCCAGGGTTCTACTGCAGACCTCTGGGCTGGGAGCTCTAGGAGTTGGGCCTTAACCTGTGTGTCCCCCACCCAACCCGCAGCTGATTCTGAGGTGCTGTCCCAGCTAAAAGCCACTGTTGGAAGTGTTGAAAGATATATACAGCACAGTCAAAGATATCAATAACTTTAGTCTAACTTGAAAAATGTATTTCTGTTGTAAAACTTAACTTTAAAAATATTTGAATCATCCTAGGCTGATAAATAGATTTTGTAATTTCTCATGCCAGTGAAAAAGAATATTTCTGACTTTACAGGAAGCATTCAGGTTTTGATAATCTTAAAAAAAAAAAAACCCAAACTCAGAGTATCTAATTTAAATGTGAGATAAGAATATTTAATGTTTTTTATTCTTCAGCCATCATCCCAAATACGTATCTAATCAATATCTGGAGGAAAAACTATTTTTAAAGTAAATGATACTTTAGAGGAAAAATAGGTACATCATGATTATGGTGTTTTATCATACCACTCATTTCTTTCATTTTAGAATTAAGGAGAAGTATCCTCAGACATTTGACGACATATGCCTTTACTCTGAGGTTTCCCATTTGCTGTCCCACTGCACATTTAGACTTCCATGTCGAAGGTTCATACAAGAATTATTTCAAGATGTACAGTTTTTACAAGTAAGTAGAATTTGTACTTTTTAAATTTGTCTTCCAAGAATAATCCTGTGTTTGAATTAAATTAAAAGAGAGATTATGTCTATAATATATGCTATTTTTATAAAAGTCATTAATGATTTACCATTTTTTTCCAGATGCATGAAGAAGCAGAGGCTGTGTTGGCAATACCACCAAAGCAACCTATAGTTGATACATCTGCTGAATCCTGACCTCATATTTATGATGTATATAGATATATACTATATATATTCATATTTGTGGATTTCCTAAAAGCCTCAGAAAATACTGACTGGGCAGCAGAGACAGGAGTATCTTCTGTACGCTGTCCCAGCAATTACTGGTACATGAACAGTTGGAACTGCTGACTTTCCTAACCAAAACAACTTCCTTCTCTCCGCTGTTGAGCCCTTTCAGGGGTTCATGATTCATTACCACAGTTCTAAGACTTTCAGTTACCATTGTATGCAAGAGCCAAGCACTGAATTACCTACATAGGTTTTCTATTTTTTCATTTTAAAACCGTAATGACAGTGGAACAATAATGGAATATGCAGAAGCACCTTTCACAGTTGTTTCTGAATTCTTTTTTAGGGTAAATATAAAGATGCCTTGTTTGTTAACTAATTCGTGGAAACCAGGAATCAGTGTCTCTAAGGCTGCATCCTGTTACCACAATGGGATGTGCTATAACTGCTGGTATTAGAGGGGGAACTTTTGGCCCTTTCACATTTTTCTTAATGTTTGTAACACTACTTCAGAGGTTTGTAACCTTAAAGTGAAAGAAGAGCTTCAACAACCCGGGACTTATAAGTTATTTTTTTGTTACTAGACTTGCATAAAGATTCTTATTTGTTTTCTGTCTCTTCAGTTTTGTTGCAATGTGTTATTATAGGCTATTCGAACCAATTAAGGTTTTTCACTACAGTTCCTGATTAAAATCAGAAAATCATTTTGTATTTTAATCGAAAATGTTTCCCATTTATAGAATGCATATACAAGGGCTGTCAGGAAAGTATCCAGCCATTGTTAATATATTTTTCCTATTGCATGGCTGGATACTTTCTGGACACCCTCGTATTTTCAGTAGATTTCCATTTTCATCAAATTTCCATATCATTTCAAACAGGAACTTGAATAAGCACTATTAATTTAGACCTAAAACAAAGGAAAGCATTAACTAATACTTTGGATCTCCTGAGGAAAGGATAAGTTTGCCTGCAATTGACACATTCCATGGGGAAAGAAGAGCCATATTTCCTTTTTAAAAATCATTAATAAAACATGTTATTAAGGTTAAAAATTGTAGTGAAAAGCCTTAAGTACCAAATTTTTAAGCAGCAGTAACTTAATCTTTATATCAATGTTTTTGTTTTGCACAAACTACATGCAGTAATAGGTGAGTTTATGAGTACAGTAATTGCCTTTATCATATTTGTGAAGTTGTTTAGCTGATGAGGGCAAGGTTGTTTAATTTGTATATGTCTAAAGATATTTGGAAATCTTCACAGGAATTAAACATATATGCAAATTTGTATATAAAAAATAGCATGGCCATCATCATTAGAATGCTTGTAAATGAAAGGACTATCTTTTTTGAGATTTCTATATAAATAGAAATAGAGAAAAAAAAATCCAGCTGGACTGATTAGGACCCTTTTTAAATTCATTCGTGTAAACTGTTTTTACAATTACACATCAGTTTTGACACAGTCATAGCACATTGGTTAAAATTTTCCCATGTTGCAGATCCTTGTTGTAATCTAGTTGTTCTCTGGATCTCTGTAAAGAACCCTGTGAACTAGAAAACATAACTCATAAGATTTTTTTCTTTCTTTTTTTTTTTAATTTACTGGCACTGAAAGTTCCAATTGGGATGAAGCATTTCATCTCGCTCCGTAACACCTCTTTGACTGCACTTCAGTGAATCGTTCTTATGTGCACTGTGTAGCAACTTACGTCATAACAAAGCAGATAAGGGCTATAAGCTGCTGCTTGTGTTAAAAAGTGGTTCTTCAGATTTTCTCTCATAAAATCCAATTGAAGATAAAATAAATAATTTTTTAAACTTTATCACTGAACCCAAGTGTTTATTTAAATGTCAACAGTACTTCTAAGAACGTTGCCTGTCACCTTGGTCTTTGGTCTTGGAAAATTAAACTGCCTTTCCAAAGAACCAAATGTCAGAGATACTAGACCAAATAGTGGTTAAAAACTCCAAAGGAAGTAATGTAGTAATCTTATTCATAATGGGATTAACATATTTTAGACATTCATTTTAAACACTACCTCAGTTAATATAGAGTGTAAAATCTGTGGTTTAACCCCTTAAAAATTAACAGTAATTTGTTTCCTGTCACACACACACACACACACACACACACACCCATCCATCCTATTCCTGTACCCCACCTTGGTCATGCATCCTGAAATTAAGGCTTAGTTACTATTAGCCTGAACAGGTTTGTTTGACTGTTACTTTGAAAGACATGTATGTATACATCATCATATCTGCCTATAGCACTTACTTTCAGGAAGACACTCGGAGCTTTGTGGTTATCAGTATACTAAAAAAAAAAAAAAAAAAGTCTACATAAATTTATAGTGCTATTTGGTTATCCATAGTTTCACTGACAGGTCTGATACGTTTTCTTTGAGTACTTTTTTGTATAAAAGTAGACTTTATGGTGAAAAATGCATTCAGTGCCAAGTGATTAACTTAGGTGTTTAAAAGTATTAAATTATAGCAGAAAAGGTTAGAAATGGCATCAGTGGTAATATAAATAATTGAGAAAATCATCTATAAATAATAGATATTACCAGATAGAATACCAAAATAATGTCAATACTGTAGTGTTTCAAGATTTTAGAATTAATCTTAGTCCATATAAATTTGTACTATTGGTAATTATTGAATAATTTGGAGGAATTTGGGCAGTTGTGCTGGGTATAAACTGTGAATTTCTAATTGTAAAGTGAAATGTCATTTCAAATTGAATTTTTTTTTGAAATACAGATTTCAGCTTCACATACTAAGA